CTGGCCGAGGAATCCTCACGTGTACATATATCTGCTGTTAACGGCTAATTAATTTTTAGTGCCTAGTCATGGACTCCCTATGTTTACACTGCTGATAAGAACTGATGGGAACTTCATGCGGGCTGACCTTCGAGCGACATGTACTGTCTTGAGTTTGCACACTTTGGCAACGGATTGAGATCCTGGAGTCAGGTTCCTTACGCTTAGGTGGGTTGTTACCGAGAACTGAGGAGCTGAGGAATGCTAAAACCTCAGCAAAATCTCGAAGGAAGAGGAACTTTCTCATGACTTGAATACGGTTCCAGCACCGGCAGTGGACTACAGTAAACATCTGGTGCGCCGTACCAAGGTCGTTACCACTCAGTCTCCCCGTCTTACTCCTTCCGTGGAGCGACAGGCGACAAACGTGGTGAAGATCCCCGCATCAATGCCTAGTTTTAGCGTTCATTATATTTTCTCCTATGGAGGGGATGGGAAAAATTCAGATTTTCACCGAGACCTAGCGACGGTGGATTGTGTTTCCTTGCATTCACGAGGGAAAAAAAGAGAGGGGTCTGAATGGGGATAAAAAAATGAGTGTTGAAAAACAAATTAGCAGGAAGAATTTTAGGGACCGTTGAATAGCTATAAGTTTATTAAAAAATTCCAAACTGTACCGAAAAACCGGCTCTAACTGAATGTATAAGCGTTAAACCGACGAAAAATGTCATTGGTTTAATTCAAAATTATGCTTTCAAACACAATCAGTGTTTCGATACGACAAAATCATGAGTTGATCCGATTCAACAATTTTATTGATTAAAAAAAACATCCATGTTGATTAAAAAAGACATAAACCAAAGTCATAGTCCAAATGGGACTGCTGGATTAAGCAAGCTCGTGTTGAATCAGCTCAAATTGTGCTTATAGCATAATTTTCTGTTGAAATGATGCAATTCCGTGTTCATCTGACTGAACGTCCGTTTTAATGACAATTTTTTTTTCAACGTGGAACTCAAAAACTTGTTTGCAACTTGCACTGACTCAAAATGTAATTTTTGTGAGAGAGGGTTGAACTTACGTAATTTAGCATGAAAAATCTTTATTCACAAGATTAGGGCAAACCTCTCCGCAGTTTTCTGAAGCAAGGGAATCAATTACGTTCACCGCAAGAAGATCATAAGAGCACCCGTCGCGTTCTAGGGTTGGTTGGACTGCGTTGCGGCCAACAGAGGCCCTTTCTAGACCACAACGGACAATAACCTCAGAGCGGAAAAATGTTTGTGCGAATTCGCGATTAATGGTTGACCGGAAAGTATGAAACTGACTACATCAGCTAGTCACGGAATTCCGACGAAGGAACGGCGAATAGGAAGGAAACCAAGGAAAAACGCAACTGACCGCTGGTCACAGGGATGTAAATACGGAACGAAACGGAAAAGCATGTAATAAAAGCTCCTCGTAAAAGAAGAGTGATTACTTTTTTCCGGGCATTTTCGCTTCGAGGTTGTTGCGGGTATAAATAGATAAAACGGGTTCACTCGCACGCAAAAGCTTCAGCTAGGTCGACTTCAGATACACTAATTCTTGTGCTGAAGTAACTCATGTTACACTGTGTAACATTGTGGAGTGAAATTATGCGTCAATATTGAGACTCCAATNTACGTTCACCGCAAGAAGATCATAAGAGCACCCGTCGCGTTCTAGGGTTGGTTGGACTGCGTTGCGGCCAACAGAGGCCCTTTCTAGACCACAACGGACAATAACCTCAGAGCGGAAAAATGTTTGTGCGAATTCGCGATTAATGGTTGACCGGAAAGTATGAAACTGACTACATCAGCTAGTCACGGAATTCCGACGAAGGAACGGCGAATAGGAAGGAAACCAAGGAAAAACGCAACTGACCGCTGGTCACAGGGATGTAAATACGGAACGAAACGGAAAAGCATGTAATAAAAGCTCCTCGTAAAAGAAGAGTGATTACTTTTTTCCGGGCATTTTCGCTTCGAGGTTGTTGCGGGTATAAATAGATAAAACGGGTTCACTCGCACGCAAAAGCTTCAGCTAGGTCGACTTCAGATACACTTTTTCTTGTGCTGAAGTAATTCATGTTACACTGTGTAACATTGTGGAGTGAAATTATGCGTCAATATTGAGACTCCAATTTGTTTGTTGGCTTGGGCAAATTTTGATCTTGGTCAAAAAAAAAAGAAAGGGTCAGTTGTAACGGGCATCGAAACTTGAGAAAAAGAAACCAATGCCCGTTACTGTTCTTATAAGAGAGGTTTTTCCGGGTCGATTTGCTTTTAACTTTCTGCTCAGTTGAAAGTTGCTCGCTTCTCTGACGTAAGGGCGTAGCGCAATTTCCCTATGAGCCTTACTTTAAATACAAGTCTATGCTTTCTAGGGCTCATACGAAATTGGAGATACATCCTTACGTCAGAGGAGCGATGAGTTGGAAAAACGAGATTCTAGAAAATAGAGAAAATAGAGCGCGTTGTTGAAAGGTTCAGGGAGGGGGACCGGGACCCGCTTTCAGGATGAAGCCATCAGTAAGGACATTAGCGAACGACACTCATCCTTAGCAGTCCCTTTTTTAGCCACATAAATAATTAAGTGAGTCACTATTTTAAAAATGTGATCTTGCACCGATTATCTACACACGCTGATCTAGAAATAGATTTTCTAAGTCTGTATACCAAAATAAATAAAGAAATGAATGAAAGTAGATAAAAATTAAAAATGCGTTAAAAAAAATGAATCTATTCTCAAAATTGTGAAAGTCGGTCGCAGGCAAACATGCCGTTAAATTCCGAATCGTAAAATGCAGTTCTATTGGGGGTGGTAAATCAATATCCGATTTATATTGAAACAGAATTGTCATCTTAGTTGCAGAGGTTTTACGACACGACTGTAAAATGTTGGTTTTGGATGTGAATCAACTTTTTGTCTCCTTACGATCCTTCCATTGTTCATCGAAATGCGTTAGGTGTTCAAAAGTGGAAAACGTTATTATTACGTAAATTGAATGTGCTTTTCCGAGCTGCATAAACATTTTGCAATTCTGCTGATAAAAGTAACTTAATTAACACGAGTTGGCCGAGTGGAATACAGTAGATTATAATTATACAATGATCTTGGTAATGGCCAAAATGATGTTGGTTATAATTCAATTTCAGCCCTGTATAATGAATACCAGTAAAGATGAAATAGAATAAAAGTTTTTGGAGGTATTTTGTTTCTTGGAGTTTATAAAAAAAAACCAACAAAAAATACAGTGATTTCAGTGAATTAAATTCGAAAATCTTCCGAAACGGCTGCAGGACGCGAAGAATTAACACTTGCAGAGACAAAATTCATGATGATTATCAACGAGGGGACTCCATAGTGTTAATTAGCCGCGGCAGTTGAAGAGTCTCCTCTCCGTCATAACTGCTCTCATGGCACAATATAAAAAGTGGATCCGAGTGACGTCACCAGCCCCGTATCCAAACATGTTTATTTTCCACTTCCGGTCCGCCGGCGCAGGGGAGGGCACGCTGACTCGCATTCCGAAACATATTAAAGTGCAATTACCGCGGTGTTAATGTACAGAGCCATCGTGGTGTCCTTACGAGGTTGCAAAATCCCAACTATATCCACGTGAAATACGGTTTAAAATCTGGAAGAGTGGCAACGATGGTCGCGCTATATTTGACAACAGGAATAGGGGCCCGCGAGTGTAAAAAAATAAACACCATTTGACTAATGGATGAGAGCCCGAAAAAGAGACGCGGTAAAGCGAGACCATAAGAGGCATCAGCGCGCGCTTTTTCGTGGCTCCTCCGGCGATTTGCAACCGGGAGGTGAAGATTGACGGGATGGAGTAGGAATCTACAAAACTGACAGTTTTTGGCAGCGTGTACCTCCTCAATGTAAGAAACTTACAGGTAAGCCGAAATTTGGAGGGGTTTATGTCTTTAATTATTGGGAAAATGAGCGCATTGATGCTTACGGAAACTACGTACAAATGAATAAAATTAAAAGGAACTATAAGTCACAAAAATCACACAGATATAAGTTATTTGCACATGTTTTCGTTAAGGATTGTTATACGATGTATAAATGATTTTTTTTTTGGGGGGGGAGGGAGAGGATGGTATATTACTAAGTCACGTTACTTGGGCTTATTCATGCTGAAAAGAACTATAAGAAAAATAATTATAAATGAATGAAAAAATAGGTTCTTCCAGGGCTTGCATGCTACTCAGTTCCTTTCAGAAGGAATATGTGCAATTCAAACTTCCAGCCTGCCGGTATTAAAAATTGAAAATGCTGCACTCAAAATTCCTGAACATGTGCGAATGAGGCTACGGCGATCATTAACTAAACGGATATTCGAGGTGAATCATCTCGACCCCATGTCATTTCCAAGGCCGAAAGGATTCCCATTGTGCCGCGAAATCCATCAACCAACAACAGGACCAGAAGCTGCTACTCCGGGGGGTTGACAAGTCAAAAGGTCGAGCTAAATGGAGGGTTTAACAGATCCCGCCTGAAAGGGATGAAGGGATCGAGGCTAGGGGCACGTGGAAAGAGCAAACACGGTTTTTGGTGGATCGACGGAATCGGGGTAGAACTGTTTACACCTTCACCAGGTGCCGCGCATCGTTGCGAAATTTCCAGATTCTTAAGGTTTCCACATTGCTAACTCCAATGGCGCTCAAAGAATTCGGCACTATAATAGCAGATGGCACGGTAGTGTGTTGTGATTTTAATAGCACGATATAAGAGACACGCAGACGCCTTTTAGAGAGGCACGGAGGCAGTAGCGAGGCTTGAATGATCGATTATCGATATATTCCCTCATTTGTAGCTGTGATAAAGAATCGATTATTACAGTGTTCATTGCGAAAACCTTGTCTATCGATCCTTCTTTTTAGGTTTAAATGGTAGATTAATCGATACATAGCAAAGCACGCCACGCCACGCAACTGCACGGAGGATAGACATTTTGAAGCGGATCAGGATCACGCACTTACCCCAGAATCGGATTTGCTGATTAGATCTCTTTTGTTTGAGCTAAATGAGCCTTTCGTCACTAAATTTTTTTCCTCATCATCACAAGGACGAGGGATAAGTTTCTTTTAAGGATTCTCGTCAAGAGGATGCATACCTGAAACAAAGAATAAACCATACGTTAGGACTTAGGTGACGGAAAATTAAGCCAAAGATGAACAAGTTTTGAATATGCAATCCCAGAATTTTCATGTGGAATTCGTTTTTGCTGAGTTTACTACGATGTTATTGAATTTTCAGGGGCTGCGTGTGAAACAAGAAAAATAACTGGGAGTTCGACAAGAAATTCCAGTGTGACTTATGATTGTAAGTTTTCGAAATTTTTCCAACACCAAAGTGCCTTGCCTTTCCACAGCATTTGAAGGACCTGGCACCACCTCATTTCTTGCTCAACTTCTGCCACCCCCCGTCCAATGGGCGTCCTGTTTGTTCTCTTCCAGGAAAAATCACCGCCTAATGAGATACCTAAAAAAAGTACACGAATATGGTTAAAAATTTTGACATTTTGCACAGGGCCGGATTTACTTACTTGCCGCCCATGGGCCACCTGTATTTTTCCGCCCCCTTCTCATTCGTTATAAAATATCAATAAAAACCATCAAGTGAACGTGCCGGAGGGGGAAAACACGTTTACTCGTGTTGGTCACATTTTTTGAGAAAGCCCTGTCAACAGTACTAGCAAAAGTTCACGGAACTTTGCGCGAAAGTTAAGTTTCGTAGACTATCTCTGTGTGGACGAGGTCCTCCATTCATAAGAAATGAACCAAAAAATTATGAAAGAACAAACATAAATGTCGTTTAATAATTTCAACTTCCGCCGTCGCGCCGCGCTGACCGCACTGTGTTTGGCGCAATACGTGAAGTATTCATGCAGTCTTGTAGGCGCTATGCGTTTCACGCTGCCCACTGCTGACCGCAGCGACCGCACTGTCTTTGGCGCAACGCGTGAAGTATTCATGCAGTATTGTAGGCGCTAATATTTGTTACATGCCGACCGCTGCGCCGAGGGTTTCTCCTTTTCATCTCACGTTCTCGTCATCATTGCTCTCACAGAAGGACGACAAAATTAGGGATATACTCTCAGGAAATGAGAGATTTTGTCACCTTTTCTCGTTCGTAATTTTTTTCCCTGAATCCGATTTTTCTTTAGAGCTACATTTAAGGAAATTGCAAAATTTGCCGCCCCCTAAACTTGCCGCCATGGGCCGCGGCCCATGTGGCCACCCCCTTAATCCGGCCCTGATTTTGCAGCCCTCAAAATAAAGTCACTGTAGCGGTTTTCACAAGGTGTCATTGCTGCAATGAGAGTTATTCTGTTAACTTTGGCAATCACGTTGCTGGTTCACGTATTGATGTTCTCATGGCGAAGACAAAACCGGGGACAGAACACACCCATCCTAATGCATGACCAGCGGAACTGTGCACTTCGCACGACGGAACATCACTAACCTACTTCGTGCCGGTCGATTAAATTACGGATGAAACCCCATCACACCCTCCCTCGAAATTCTCCCGTTCTTTCGGTCACCTCGACGAACTTTACGATTCGTGATGAAAAATGTTGAAATCGATCTCTTAAAGAGCAAGTATGATTTGCATTAGAGGCGCATTGCTCGGTTAAAAGCAAATTTCCGCTTTCAAATTTGATACTTGAAAGTTCGACCTTCGGTGATTTCCGGTATGATGCGATTTGAGCGAGCCATCCGAGTGAATGAGAGGACTTGGGTTCCAATCGTTGCAAGGACAAGGTGTTTCCGAGTACAGTTATTCCAATTGCGATAAGTGACCTTGCTATTCAAATGCTTCGAAGAGGAACTGATGTTTGGAAAATATACGTGGCTAAATAAATTTTTGTTGTCTTTTCTTAGAAATCTGGTGTTAAACTTTTTATGGTTGAGCTACTATTAGACCAATTCAGTTTAACAAATAGTCAATTTTTGTCAACTTCGTATATGTTCATGAATCGGAAGATTCAATTTTTCATTCAGATTAATGAAAAATCTAACTGGTATTGACTCCAAGTTTTAACTTCCGATGTCGAGCAGAATATCAAATCTAACCGTCTTTTCTTAACAAGTACAATTAATCATTGTCGATAATACTTTGATTCGGCCTTAAAATTACGCGCAACGCAACGCAAAAGAAAAAAGAAAAAACTCTAAAAACTAGAACTTTTGAGCCCCAAGCACACAAATTTACTGCTGCACAAGCAGATAGTGCCATGGCATTTCTATACTCCATCACTCCTCACGCGCCAACACCCTCAGCCGCGACCTTAATTGGCCTGCATGAAGCAAAGCAAGCGTATTTCACGTTTTGGCTTGACATCTCGTTCCCGTAAGAACACAGCATGACCAAGTCCCACTCTTCAAACCTTTGAGACGATTCCTGCCGAACGCTTTCCAATTTCCGGCGCATCGCATGCGAGGATCACATCACACCTTTGCAGCGTGAAATATCGCGCGGTTCGGTGTGTGGGAGATGGGTCTTCGGTCTCACGCTCCGCGAAATTCAAATTTCCCGCCCCGACTAGGCGGTTTTCGTTGCGCCGATGATTCTCATCACTCTCCGTGCCCGCACCTTGACCTTTGATTTATCGAAGGCGTGTGTTCCGTTCTGAGCCTTGCCCGTGAATTTGAATGATGAGATCTGCGGGCCGTTCTGGGTGAGTTGAGCGGTGGATGTCGTGACAACATCCAGGCCCTTTGGGACTTGGAGAGTGCGAAAAAATGTTAAAAAAATAAAATGAGTGATGTTTTGTTACGTGTAAAAAATCTAGTGATCCCATTCCATGTCCGTCAAAAGTTCCGGGACTCGGAATAATTTTGTTCCAATTTCTCCCCCTTCATTACCGTCAAAAGTTCTGGGCTGGGATTCTCTTTCACTGGAAAAAAAACACATTGGATCTAGAGTCCCGACTCTTAAAAACATCGACAAGAAAAAATACTCTTGATTCAATTAGATTTTTGCTAAAATTAAGAACCAAGCCTCTTAATTTGAGCGAATTTCCTTTTGATTTAAGCTAAAATCTGATTGAACCAAGAGTATTTTTTCTTGTCAATGTTTTCAAGAGTCTGGGCTCTAGATATAATGTGTTCTTTTTTCCTGTGTTGGATTTTTTCAAAAATTCGGAGGCCGGAACTTTTCGGGAATTTCAAAAGTTCCGGGGAAAATTCAGGAAAATCTCAAAAGTTCCGGAATTCGGCACTAGTTCCGGGAAATGGGAGCACTAAAGTAATCACACCTGAAATGTTACGAGGGTGAATCCATCACCCTCGTGAATATATAAAAGGCGGTAGAGGATAAACACAGTGGTAGGAATAAGATTCTACAATCTACACTAATTGAGTAGACTTCAGAGATATTTTTTAGGCACTCGGAGACAGGGCCGGATAAAGGGGGTGGCCACATGGGCCGCGGCCCATGGCGGCAAATTTAGAGGGCGGCAAATTTTGCAATTTTTTTAAATGTAGCTAGAAAGAAAAATCGGATTCAGAAAAAAATTACTAACGAGAAAAGGTGACAAAATTTCTTATTTCCTGAGAGCCAATCTCTTCGTAAAGAGTCGTCTTTCTGTGATTACAGACAGCACCTTTAATTAGTCGAGCTAAGACTAAGAGAGAAACCGAACACGAAATTTGGCCTGGAACGGCGCGGCGCAGAGAGCAATAATAAGAGAACTTGAGATGAAAAGGAGAAACGCGCGGCGCGACGGCGGTCGGCATATTACACATATTAGCGCCTACAAGACTGCCTGAATACTTCACGCATTGCGTCAAAGATAGTACGTGCAGTGGCGGTCGGCGTGAAACGCATAGCGCATACAAGACTTTAGGAATACTTCACGCATTGCGTCAAGCAAAGTGCGGTCAGCGCGGCGCGGCAGCGGAAGTTAAAAGTATTAAACCATATTAATGTTTGTTCTTTCATAATATTTTTGTTCATTTCATACAAATGGAAGGCCTTGTCCACACAGAGATGGGTTTACGGAACTTAACTTTTGCGCCAAGTTCCGTGAAATTTTGCTAGTAATGTTGACAGGGCTTTCGCAAAAAGTGTGCCCAACACGAGTTAAGGCGTCTAATGCACCCCTCGCCCTCCGGCACGTTCACTTGTTGGTTTTTATTGATTAACTCAATATTTTTCCCAACTTCGTAAGTGGCATTTAACCCTGGGGCAAATCTCGTGAAACGGCCCTCGGAGACAAGGCCTAAAGAAAAAAGTAAAAACATTTAGAGCGAAAAGAATCACTCTCAAAAATGGGCAACCACTGTTTGACCAGTTATTCAGATTAATCAGTCCACTGCCCCTTCTTTTATATCGACACAACTCCCCTTTACCTGCACTTCTCTGTAATATACCGTTAAAAAAAGGCAGCGTTCGACCCGCAGTCCGGACAAGAAAACTTCTAAAAGTCAAAGTTCTAAAATGAGCCACACGCTTCATATAGGTATTGTTTATATATTCTCGCGGAGCGCCCTAACTCCTGTGCAATCCGCAGTCGCGCCACCACCGTCGTTTCGCAATCTGCACCCGAAATCTATTGCTGACAGCTCCCGTGTCCGGCACCGGGGGCCGAGACGTGTGTATGCCTTGGAGCTCCGAGTACTAGGAAAGCAGAGGTGAGTCGCAGGTCTCGCGCTGTTCCTGATTGGCGCTCTGTTGAGCCAGTGACGTCTCCGCGCATCAGCAGGCATCGGCCGACTCGCAATCACACAACAACGTTTGGCTCAATGCATGCGTATTTTTGTCTTTTCTCAACGCTAAGTATTAGGACGGAAGAGGTTGGCCGCAGGTAAGGTGATCGGAGCGATGTGCTTCGAGTTCCCGCGGAAATTTTAATGGCTGATAGAAGCACGAACTCAACTCCGACTCCGGAAAGCCCTCGATAGACGATCAAATTCTCGAACCAATTCCGATCAAAGTAGCATCAAAGTGTCGGGAGTCATCAGTCTTAAACTCATTAATTTGCTTCATTTTAAAATGAAAACTTGGCAGAAATGTTCCCTGTGGCAGGAAATGATGAATGGTGGCACTCCGTCATGATCTTACTTTGAACAAAAAAGTGCGGCCCGTCAAAATTTGATGGTAGATGGT